TTCCAAATAATAATAAATGCTTCAGAATCATTGCTGAATTTGAGTGCTGAAGCTGAAAGAGGTGATGGTATTTTACCTTTATGAGTGGTGGAAAGCTTTTACCAGAAAATATTAACAGAAAATATTTCTTGTGCCCTAGGTTCTTAAGAAACGTACTTTTAGTACAAAGGCTGATCTTAACATCTTGAATATTTTTGTTTATGCTAAAGTAGTACAATAAAATCAATTTCAATATTGGAAAAATAACAAATTGCTGGGAAAATCTTTTATGTGCTCTGCCTGGTAAAGAAGAATACCATGGCTGAGTAGCTGTATTACTTTTTGGTTGGATTATTTCCAGAAATTTTGCACTTAGGAATCTTAAAAGGAAACAGTCATGAAAGATGAATGTACTAGTAGATGTTGTTAATAAGCAACTAATTTTTTCAATTATGAAAGATGTTTTAATCTATGTAAGAACATTTTTTACTTCTTAAGCGCTGTACGTACTGCTGTATACTTTAGAAATACTGCTTTTGTATAGAGCAAATCTAATAATGTTAGCTTTCTTGTGCTTGGAGTAAGAACACTCTGTGGCCTATAAGCTTTTCAGATTGGACCACCTTCCCCTCCCCCTCCCCCCCCCCCCCCCACCCCCAAAGATGAAGGGAGTAACTTATTCTGTAGACCAACTTCAAGAAAAAAAGAGGAAAAAATGCAGTGACAGAATTGAAAACGTAATTTCGGGAATGTCATGACCATGGTTATGACTTGTCATCGTGACCAAACTGAGAGAAACAAATCATGGATAGAAATCATTTTGAGAAGATTGAATATGATTCATAATATGCGCTCACAGCCTTTTTCCATTTAATACACGTTTAAAAAAAAAGATTTTAAATGTCATTCAGATTCTTACAATTCAAAGTAAGAACTCTGGCTGTGTAGCCAGCTTAATGTTAGTTTAGCATGACTTTGAAAACAAAATATTTATTTCAGTAAAGTGATTACAAATGAGTCTTAAATGTTGATAATTCTTATTTCACTTAATACCATGTTTTTCTTTTGGACAAGATCTCATTTTTATTCGTACTGTAATTTTGGTGAAAATAAGTTCCCTGCACTTGTCCAGATTAATGAAACTGAGTTTCAGAATTCCATGTCTTTTGAATGTTATGTTTATTCGTTTCTGCACTCTTCAGTTCTGGTCTTCACTCGTTATTTAACATCACGATTTTCCCTCTATTCACTACCTGAAAAACAAGGAAAATTCTTGTTCGATAACAGTGTTCCAACTGTGTTCTTCCGTACAGCTCAGAACCAAGAATAAGGATCTTGGAATACTGGCATAAGTGCCACTGAAAAGTTTTATATCTGAATGCCAGTAGCAAATGATAAACAGGTACGAATTGTAAATTGCCAGATGATATTTAAACAGATAATAGATAGAGGTTACTGTTATGTGTTTGGATTATATAGCTGTTTATTGGATTTGCTACTTTATATTTATTGCAAATGAGTTTAGATGTCACTAAAATCAAAGTCACTTTTGCTCATCATTTTATCTGTTTACTGAATTGTATCTAATACTAATGTTATTTTGCATTCTGAAGATTCTATAATTAAGAAGCTGATGTTATTTTACTCTTTTATCCTCCTAAATTTCATGGTATTGGAAAGCTTGATGCTCAAGTTCCAGTGATGTTTAGGTAGAGGAGGGCATGCAGCTTTGCCAGGTTCCCCTGAACCCTTTTCTGCCCCTTCACTAAAAACTTGTCAGTTCAGCGCAGGTGTGTGTGGGAAGTGTCCTGTGAGTACTTAAGCAAAAATATTTCTATTGCATTTATGAATCTGAAGGCCATAAGTTGTCCTCAACGCTTTCATCAACAGTGTTGAACGAGGAGGAAATAACTAGATTGATTTAGAAATATTAGGTTGAGTTCATATGAATGCTATACAGTAAAGCTTCTTTTTATCTGTAAGTGGCAGCATGCATTTGACTGGAAGGCAGGACAATGCAATTTAAAAATGACATTTCTGTAGTACTCAGAGGAAAATTTGAGGTACTTCTCCTGATTCTACTTAAATCCATCCATATTTTCTCTTCCTGCTAATCACAAGCTTATTTAACTCTTTTAAGATGAAAGAATTTGTGTAAAAAGTTATAGAAGGAGGATACTTTTGAAGCGTTGACTTTTATAAACTGTTTTGTGCACTATTACCTATTTTTTTCCCTGTTGTTCCCTGACTACTTTCACTACTGTTATAAAACTCTGAACACTTTATGTTAAATTGATGTGACCTGAAAAGCTGTCTTCCAACTAACCTGTTTTTTGGAAATTTGTTCAGGAATCATTTTGGTTGTTGCATATGTTGTAATTGTGTAAACGCACACTAGTGCATAAGTCATAAAATTTCACGTAATACATATTTACCTAGTTTATTTTTCAATTGGTTATCATTACTGATGATTCCTGTATCTTTACTTTGGTGATTTATTTTTAAAAAAATCACTTTTCTACTGTCATTTTTCCTTCTGAATATATTTAAACACATTCTGTGGAGAGTGTCAAGACTATAGTATTTCCATTGTATTCATTCTTTCAGAAAAAGCTTATCAGTTGATCGAGGGGACTCCTGGCTCTGATTTGCTTTCTTAACTTACAAGGTATACAGATGACTTAAGGGAAAACTAAGTGTGAGATGCTCTTGCCGTGTACATACAACCTGTGCATAAAAAGGTTTGAAAAACTGTTTAGTGTAATTGTTTAGGACTCGAGTGATGCTTTGTGTAATCCTTAAGATTTACTGCTGACTCCCGAGATCATCTCTGTGTGTTAGTACAGCGGGACCAGTTCTCCAACAATATCCTGTAATGTTTTTGCCATTAGATCTCCTGTATACATGGCAATGTTAATTTATTATGTGCTTGTGAAATAGCTTTCAAAGTAGGATATTAGTATCTTCAGCTTGCTGTTGAAAATTACAGTTGAAGTGACTTGCTTTCGCTGTGCCTTTGGGTTGCTTTTTGATGTGTTCCGCTCTGTGACCTTGGTGTGATTGTAAGGCCTGTTGTGTAGTGCTCCTCACCCTGACCCCTTCGCCTGCACACGCCATGAGAGAAAAAAGCGTCAGAGGATTGCTTTCTTAGCTCTTGTGGCTCAGCAGGAACTCCGTCATCTTAGCATCTTTGCTGTGTGTCTGCACCATGAAGTGAAGTTTTCTTGGCTTTCTGAACTCCTATAGCTTGTCCACCTTGTGCTGTGGAGCGATAAGGGAAGCAGGTGGTTGTATCCCAGCCAGTTGGGATCTGCTTTCGTGAAATATGTGGAGTCAGTTGTAGGCAGGTCAAGCAGAACAGGTAGATAAAACGTTGAAGAGCAGGTAGAGCAAAATGCTGGGGGTGGGGGGAGAGGGCTCCTGGATATGGCAGTAGTGAATTTTGTGCTATTGGGAGAAAAACATCAAACTTCCACAGCAAGGCAGCCGTGGAATCCAGGAATTCTGTGTTCCTGCTTCTCCTGATGATTATTTCATGTTTCTCCCAGACTTTTGAAGGTTATCTCTGTAACTGTAAAGGCTAGAAGCTTTAAATCTTTAAAATGAGAAATGAAATTTTTGGTCAGTTACCCATAATTCATGTCTAGAAGAGAATTCCGTGATAAAACTGATAGTTGATTATTTTGGTTCCTGCCAATAACTTCAGCAATGAGCATTACACCTATACTTACTTGCCACAAATATTCAAGATGTGTTGGAAAAACATTGAAGGAATGCTTAATTTAGATTATAATAAAAGCTTTACAGAAATTTGTTGTATGGAGATCCATAATCTGTACAGTCTAGTCATTCATATTGCATTTGAACTTGCATTTGAACAGAGAAGCGATGAAAAAGCTTTTGCATATGCAAATACAATTATTAAAATTATTATCTTTTATTTCAGATACTGTCCTTATTATTCCATAGGGATTTTAAATTCAATTTCTTCAGGTGGGGAACTCTTCCATTATTGCACTTCATCCTCTGCCTCTTGGGAAAAGAAGAGAAACACGTAGAGCTTGATCGTAGTCAGTTTTGCTTTGAGAATTCTTGCCTTGTTCTGCCTTTTAGTAGAATGTTCGACCTGTGAGAAATCAGCCTAAACAAAGATGCCCTACTGGTAGTGTAGATACAAAGTTTCACGTAGCTAATACAGCCAGTGTATCCATTAAAAATGAATGGGGATCTGCAACATTATTGCAATAGGCAGAACTGCACAATGATTATACAGTGTAAATTTATTGCAGTATTTGTTAAATCACAGCAGGATACTATTTCACTGTTTCTTTAAACTTGTCTCATTTATTTGGGAAGGAGAGCAATGTGTCAGTTTTTAATACTGGAATGTATCAAATGTGACAGAGAGCAAACCCTTCCTGTGAGCATGCGTGTTATTTAATGAATGCAAATTTTAGTTAAGATATGTCCACGTATGAAGTAGCCGGGTCATAGAGTGAACTGCTATTTTACATTCTTTTTTTCCCTCTTTTCAAAGAAAGTAAGTAATATTTAGAGAGAGGTGACAAAAGGAAGGCCTGGGTATTGAATGTTCAACATAATTACAATAATTAAAAAACAAAACCCCACAAAACTGTACTTACCCTAAAGCTGACATTTTATAGTTCTTTGAAGGTGTATATTCTGCTTTCTTACCTGTGGAAACTAAGACAATTTCTTAAGAAGGATATTGTTGCATAAAGGTATGCATGTTTGTGATGATCTGTAGTATTGCTCTGGACTGCTGTTAGAAATTGCTGTAACAAGTTAAACCACTGACCCTTTTCACTGAGGATGAGGAAACATGACTTAAATGATATGAACAGGGGATTTGAGGTGGCTAATATGTTACTTGAATACCAATTCTGCTGGTTTATCTCTCATTTCCATTTTTGAAAGTAATGCTACATTTTCCTGAATTATGAATTCAATTGAGTATTAATGTTGGAACGGTCTCTGAAGCTTAGGCACGATAGATGTGTTGCAGGGACTGTGTTTTGCTGCTCACCTTCATGCAAAGTCTTTGTGAATCTCTACTTGGACTTTAGCTGTCTGTTGATTACTGCTGTGATGGTGTCACAGTGCGCAAAGTGTTTGCTTACTCGTACAGCATTTGTCTTATAGTGCTCCTTGGCATTAAATTTTGGATAATATCTTCATGCGATTGAGTACAAGAATCCTGAAATGGAAAGAGTTTAGGGTTTTTTTGTTTTATTTTTTTTCTCATTAATCCTCTTAGTAGGAATATAGTAGATGCCTTACAAAAATTCTAAATAGATGCTTATCATAATCCTAATAATGACTTTTTGAAGTTTGTTGAGCACTTTTTCCTGTTGTGTTTCACAGAAATTGCTTCCAACTTTTGAAATTTGTAATGATACAAAGAGCAAAGGGTTTAAGCTCCACTACTAGAAGAATATTCTTGAATATTTGTGCTGCCTAGCTTTCTAGCCTGTTATTTGGGGCATACTGTAAATAACAAAGGTCTGTGTGTTTCATGGTAACTCCAGACTTTTCTACCGACTGTTTGGAATTTCCCTGTGGGTAAATTTTTGACAGTTCCTTTTATGCAGGTCAGATTAATTTAAGTCATGCCTGCATGGTACCGCAATGGGACTGTGTAAAGATGTTAGCTAGCATGTTCCAGTGAAATGCCATGTAGGCATACCTGTGGTAGGTTAAGTCTTTAGGGATTATAATTTGAGACTCGATGATTTCCACTCATGCATTTAAGCCATTGTCTCTCTTGATAAGTGGATCTAGAAATGTAATGCGATCATCCGTTCACACGTGCCGTTTTTGAGTGAAGAAAAATGTTTGTGTTTGCGTAAAAATAACTGATTTTGTTTTCTCACTTACAGAAAATGCCAGAAGCATCAGAAGATCATAATCATTGGAAGGCCTATTGACTTCCGTTTTTTGATAATCTGGAACATCATCAATCTGGCATGGCGCAGGGCAGTCAACAACTTGATGTGCAGGTACTCCATGATCTCCGGCAACGTTTCCCTGAGATTCCTGAAGGGGTGGTGTCTCAGTGCATGCTTCAGGTATGTTGAAGAGTTTAAAAAAGTCTTAAGAATCTATGTAGTTTTATGTTTGTAGTATGAAGACTCTTTAGTAGTCTATTTGGAGGACAGATTGTTTTCATTTTTCTAGCTTTGTTTTTGATGTGGTTATTCTTTGTATTTTATTTCTAAAGGGGGAAATGCTCCACCGCTTACATTTTAGGTCCTATCTTATGTACAAGAACTTTATCATTCCTCACTACTTCTTTCTTACTTCTCTGAATTTGTTTGTTTGTTTATTTTTTCTCTTCTGATTGTTCATCCTTGGCTATGTGACCTTAAACTGCACGCATGCAGGGAATAAGGAGAGTGGCTAATGGAGTAGTTATTGCTGATGGCTAGGTAAAGAACGTATGTGTACTCGAAGAAATTTTAGCAGACAGTGACGACTTCTTCCCAGATGAGGAACTGGCTTTACCTAGAAATTTAAAAATATTTTGTCTTCATGGCCATCTTCAATACCACAGCTGCCCAAATGATTATTTTACTTCTGTGTTTTCAAGTCAGGTGGCAGTTTTTTTTGTTTTTTTTTTTTTTCCATTTCTCACTTCCACCTTCATTTAAAACCATAAATCAGAGGGGATAATAGTGTGGTCACACATAATTGTTTTTCAAGGTAGCGATGATCTGGTAACGTCTTCTGTAAATGGAAAAATTCAGGAGTGCAGTACAGGCATGTAAGATCTGGCTTGGTCTTGTTTGACAGTGGATCTGGTGGAAATTAATGTGATCAACTCTACTTTGTGCGAAAGCAGCTAAGTTGTATTTTATCTTACCTGTTCCTGGCAAAGAATAGACGTACTTGCAACTTGCAGTGCTGCCCGTGTGAAACTGAGAACTGACTTTTAAGTGCTTCGCTACGTAGTTACAGCAATAGTTATGCATGTGTTATCTTCTAAACCATATGAAAGAGCTATGAATTACTTTCAGACAAGAATGTAAAGGTGGAAAGCCCTGTAATGCAAAGCTTTTCTTATCCTCACGTAGTCATTTCTTCTGTACTGTAAAGCCGATGATCCTTTCAATTAACTATGTTGAAGTCAGATATCTTTAAATTGCTAAAATTAAAAAAGCTCTGGTGCTGCAGAGGCTTGTGGTATTCAGATTGTATATGATATTCTGGATAGCTAGTTAACATTGCATTGCAAAATTTTGTCTTTTCTGAAGTATAAAAGAAGTTTCCAAGACCATTTGATATATATGTTAAGGTAGCTGAGCCAGTTTCCATTGCTTAACCTATAGATGTAACCTACTTGCTGTAGATTTACACCAATATGAATTTTGGATCCATCAAAAGTGGAGGGTCCTTCGATACAGAAAACATGTTCCGTATCCTTTGAGAAAATTAGGTTGGCACTTCTCCTGACTACATTCTGACTTCCTCCACCTGATGAAGTGACCTAAGGACACTGAGGGTTCTTTATGAAGTCCTGTTTAGGTGGCAAGTGGCTGGTGGCAACAATTAGTTAGCTTTTTCATGACTGCTGATGGCAACAATTAGTTAGCTTTTTCATGACAGCTGTTCTTGACACTGTGATGCTGGTTATTATTACAAGGTCTGATTCCCAAAAGTTCTGTTTTTGAATCTTTACATGGTACTTCCAGACATTCCCATTGACCATTGGGGTCTAGAAGGGGAGTTTGACATGAGGAGGAGGTAGGCAGGGTGAAGTATCCACAGAATGAGAGCTGTATTTAAGTCCTGAACTCTTTTCTCCTCTGTCGTATTTGCTAGTAAGTCTTCATCTGAGAAGATGCTGAATATCTATGTTAGTTTGATGCTGAAACCATGAGAAGTTTTGACGGTCATCTTCACTTTAATATTGAAGACTCACTAGATATAACTCCTTAAGAAAAGAAAGTTAACTGTGACTTTTCAACCGACAGGATATGATGCTGAAAATTATATTACAAGGCCGCATGAGTGTGAAAGCATATACATTCTTTGTACAGTGTTTTCACTTATATTTTAAAAGTTGTCATTATTAATACATATTTTAGACCCTAAGAGGGATGTGTGTGTCATTCATTGTGTGTGTGTGTGTGTGTACACACACACACGTTTGTTCTGGTAGGATGCTGCGGTATGTCACAGACTGGCGTCTTAGATTAAATGTAACCAAGTTCAGGAGTTGAGGGCCGGAAGTATTTGAATTTGACTTAAACTGACTTTGAAAGTTTTACTTTAATTACTATTTGAATTCAAGGCTGAACCACAGCTGGTGGTTGAATTCGATCAGTTATATAAAAACTTATTAAAAAAAATAAAATTCACAATCTGGAATGCTTTCCAGTGATTTTAATTTTTTTTTTTGGGGGGGGGGGACGGGGAAAAAAAAAAACAGTAGCTGTACCTAGTCTTGTTAAAAGAACTAATGTAGGTAGAGAGGGGAAGGAAGGAAAGGGAGTTTTCCCTTTATATTTGGTTTGATTGATAGTATAATGTCTGTATCGTTTCAGCTGCTGGCACCACAGAACAAATCAAATCCTTATGGGGTTATTTGGTTTGCTCACTGATGTAAGAATATACCTTTTTTTTTAGCCTTGAGTCTGAAATTCTTTAAGTTGAAATGACATCATAGTTGTAAAGGGCTTTAGGAATTACCAGTACGTATTCAAGCAACTGCTTATTCTCACATCATGTACTTGATTTAAAGGCACTAAATTCTGTACTAACAAGAGAAGCTGATTTTAAATGTTTGGGTTTTTAAACTTTCAGGTAAAGAGTAAATACTCAGGTAAATGGTAAAATACAAGTAAAAACAGTAAACAAACAGCAAAATGAATTGGTTCTAAATTCTGTAAATGATACTAAAGAAGAAAGGAAGAAATCATGTAAAATTAGATTAAAAAACCAAATTGAGTTACTTCTTTCAAACAAAAATCAAAGCAGAAGTTGTTGAATTAATTCCTGCTATTTGTTAAATCAGTTTATAATTTTGTTTGCAGACTCTGGAGAGTCCAATTTTGATCTAATTTAATTTGATTTGTGTTGTTATTAGAAATAGCTAACTATACATACCTCCTCTTTGCAGAAGATGTCAAGAGTTCTAACTATTAGTAAAGCTGCTTTCTCCTAACATATACTTTACAGATGTGTGTGTCATACTGTAGCTAGTGTTGCCATAGCATTTCACTGCAGGCAACAGGCACTGTGTACTACTTGCGTACTAGTAGGTGTTATCTTTAATGTATTTCAGAATTCATGGTTGTCACCTACAGAGAAGTGTTATCTCGAGTTGTGTTGAAGCTAGGCTTGAAAGCAGCTTCAGTTGAATGTTTGTTGAATACTGTGACCAGTGGATGTTTCTCCTATAATTTGATGATAATAGATGTCCGTTCTTACTCCTAGAACAACAACAACCTAGATGCCTGTTGTCGAGCCCTTGCGCAGGAGAGCAACAAATACTTATATATGGAGTACCATAGCCCTGATGACACCAGAATGAATAGAAATAGCCTTTTGCACATTAATCTGGGTATTCATCCTCATACGAGCTATCATGCAGGGGATGGAGCTCAACTTAATGGTGGTCGTACACTGGTACATAGTTCAAGTGATGGACATATTGATCCGCAACGCACAGCAGGTAAACAGCTGATATGCTTAGTTCAAGAACCACATTCTGCTCCCGCCGTTGTGGCAGCTTCTCCTAATTACAATCCATTTTTCATGAATGACCAGAATAGAAATGCAGCTACTCCTCCTCCACAGCCACCTCCACAGCCATCTTCCATACAACCAGGAATGAACACGTCTGCTATGCAAGGCCCTCCTCCTACGTATATGCACATACCTCGATACAGTACAAATCCCATTACTGTTACAGTATCACAAAACCTCCCCTCTGGACAAAGTGTACCCAGAGCTCTACAAATTCTTCCACAGATTCCAAGCAATCTTTATGGGACTCCCGGCTCTATTTATATAAGACAAACATCTCAAAGTTCTTCAGGACGACAGACTCCTCAGAATACACAGTGGCATTCATCGCCACAGGGCCCAGTTCCGCATTATACTCCACGTCCTCTACCTGTGTATCCACATCAACAGAATTATCAACCTTCTCAGTATTCTCCTAAACAACCCCAGATCCCTCAGTCAGCTTTTCGATCACCACCGGCATCCCAGTGTCCCTCTCCTTTTGGCTCTCCTCAGCACCAAGTTCAACCCCCTCAGTTGGGTCCTCAGAGTTCACATGTTTTCATGCCGCCTAGTCCTTCAACTGTCCCACCCCACCCATATCAGCAAGCATCCCAGACTTATCAAAAACAAGGTGGTCACTCTGTGTCGTATCTTCCTTATGCTGGGCCTAGTTTATCCAAAGGTTCCATGAATAAAATAGAAATTACAGTTGAGCCACCACAAAGACCTGGGACTGCAATGAATAGAAGTCCTTCACCAATAAGTAATCAACCATCTCAGCGAAACCAGCACCCGCTGTATGCAGCCACTACTCCTCCTTCAAGCTCTCCATCAAGAGGTATGTCGGGTCAACCTAAACCTCCATTTAGTGTTAATCCAGTATATATTACCTACACTCAACCAACTGGACCTACAGGTGCACCAACACAGTCTCCTCGGGTAATGGTATCTCAGCCAAATCCAACCATTTTTAAAATCACAGTAGGTCGAGCACCAACTGAGAATCTTTTAAATTTAGTGGACCAAGAAGAGCGTTCTGCAGCACCAGAGCCTATTCAGCCTATTTCTGTAATCCCAGGATCTGGAGGAGAAAAAGGAAGCCATAAATATCAGAGAAGTTCTAGTTCTGGATCAGATGACTATGCTTACACTCAAGGTAAATATTTTACCATGCCAATTGTATTACTATAAAATGCATTTTCAGCTTGATTTTGCTACTTAATGAGTGGGAAATATTGAACTTGTACAGAGAAGAATACAAATCACTTGCACTAAAAATCATCTAATGACAGATCATTCTATTTTTATATTATTCTATTAAATTAAAATATTCTATTTTTGTATATTATCGTACTGAATCTCGGTCTAGTACATACAGAATTTCTGAGGTTCTTAAAGTTGTCATGCTTTTGACATATGGTGAATTTCTTAAAAGAGAATACTGCAACTAACAAAATAGGTGCTTTGTTTATATATCAAATGTTCAGTTTGTTAATTCTGCATTTAAGATGTAAATGTAAGTGTGGATTTTATTATTTCTAGTTTGAATAACCTTGACTGCAGTACATTTATTTGCATGGTGCTTGGGTGTTATATAAAACCTGAAGCAGTGTAAATTTTGAAAGGAACTGGAACTTGATTTATTTGGCTTAGACTGAAGAGCATTAAGTGAAAAAGGACAGAGAGGCAGACTGCAGTTAAAATTACACTGCATGTCAATACAAATCATATGTTTGTTTTGAAAGGAATTAAAATAATTATTTTGAAGAATTTGATTAAAAAAAAAAAACAAAAGTTTCTTCTTCCCCTTACAGTTTTCAAAGAGGATGGGGAGCTTGCCAGACAGATCTTAGGAAGTGTGTTCTGTTGCATACGGACGGAAAATAGTTTTAATGCCACCTATAAATTAAATAATATAGTCAAAAAGAAAAACAAGGAGTGATGAGATGTAACCTTTAGGTGAAAACTGCTTTTCTCAAAGTAATCTATTTTATAACTTTGAAATGTTTAAAACGGAGTGAATTAGTCAGTCTGCAAGCATTCAAACAAATCAGCTGGGGTAATGACAGGACGCTAATCAGCAGCAGTTACCTAAAGAATGTGCTTTGTTTCTAGATTTGTGTTAGGAAAGGAGAGTGTATTCTTCCTCCACTGCTCCTTCTATTCTTCCTTTCACCTTAGAGTTGAAATCATAGTTATTCTGCCCCGTACTTCTTGATTTCTCATTTCACCTTGTGTCTTTGGGGCTATTTTAACTCATCAACAGAAGAGCTACTCTGTACCTGATAGACCAAATTAGAAGAAATGGTGTTTAGAGAGAGCGCTAATAGGTCTGTACCTCCTTGGCCATATATTTTCTTTGATAATGTTCCTATTACAACTTCATTAAAGATTTTATTTAAGAAAATCGTAAGTAGCTTCACATAATTGAGAAAAATATATTATGATTGTAGAATTGTGATTTTGTTTTTGTGTCTCTGTCTAGATTTTTGTGTTTGGGAAAAAAAAAAAAAAGAAAGTCAGCATGTGCTTTCGGGGACATGATGTTGTGGTAATACCACAACTGGAGCTCTGTTAGCCTTTGCTATTGCTGCACTGTAAGCTTCTAATAGAAATAAACCGTAGAAGAATAAATGTTATATTTTCTGCTACCACAAAAGAGGTCTAAAAAAAAAGAGAATTTTTTAAGAGTTTAATATAGGAAAAAAGTGCATTTATCTTTCTTCTAAAAACGAACCATTGTGAACGTATTACCAATAATCAGTTCTGGTTTCTGAGCTTAGAGTGTTTCTTTGTAGCATGGTTCACCTTTGAGTTGTGCTACGATACAATGCCAAGCTGTAATAAAGTCATATCAGGTGTTAAATTGGAGGACCCATGCTAAGACAGGGTTTGATAGTAATAATGAAAATTTATACAGCCGGATATCTGAACTTTTTTTCTTTTAATTCTGTGATCTCTCAAACTCCACTTGAACGATTTAGACAATTTTAAAAGGTAGAGGTTTTGTTCAGTAATACTGAAACCTGTGTTATAACAACATCTGATGTTATTCGTTGGTAAGATTGTCAGTAGTTATTCTTTGGCCGTGAATTGGTGGTTGCATACAAAATCCAAAGTATAGTGTTATTGTTTTACAAAGAATAGTGATATCTGATGAAAACATTGTCATTTTCATGCCCCTGACTGTTTTTCATCCTCCCCCAGTAAGCTGTGTCAGGTAGTTGTTTATTTCTCTAGCTTTTCTTTTTTTCATGCTAGTATACAAGTATCCTTGCAATATTTTGTGGTTTTACTTTGCCTGTGTTGGATGGAGGTGAAGAAAACGAGAGGTGCTTGCAGGTGGTTTGTATGAAATAGCAGTTTGCAGGTTCTACTGTGTCTTCGTTTATTTAATATTCTCCCTTGTCAGCGTGAACTTGAGAACAGTTTGCTGGCAAGATCATCATATGGGCAGTCTGCTTATCTGAATACCTATGGAAGTCCCTATTCTTTTTCTCTGTCCCAGTAGACTTTCATCAGGAAAAACAGGTAGATCAGAAAGTGCTAAGCGTTAACTAAATAACTTGGACAATTTTGGCATAGTTATGAAATAGTGAGAAATACACTTCCTGCAAAGACTGAGTATTATTTGCTAGCTAATCGGAATTCTTTCTTTGGCTGTTTGGCTGCCCTGGGAGCCCAACATGAGCTTGTAACTGAGAGTTTTGAATTTCCATACCATGACAAAAATATCAGAAAATTATTCATTGACAGCAGGGAGAGGTTAGAGGACAGTGAGTCAACATTACTGTAGAATTAAAGATCCTGAAAGACCTGAGCTCCTCCCACTTTTTTCCCCCTGTTTTTCTGGAAATCTCGTCACTGAAATGTTTTATGGAAGTTCTGTGGTTTTGCCTTTGAGTGCTGGTGAGTTGATAGTATTGAATATTCAAGTACTTTCTGCAAAGCTACGAGTACTTAAAGACGTTATTGCATAATCTCTAATAGCAGTGAAAAAGCCAACTCGGGACTGGCTTTCTGGCCGACATCTTACAGCTAGTTTGTCAGATGCTGTTAAACAGCAACTCTGAAGTGTGTGTTATCTTTTGATCTTACCTCTGGTATTTGTTTTTCACAGTACGGTGTTGGTATAATTAGATTGCTATTTCATCCTGAGCAGCTCTCTCCTCATGCAGGTGCCTTTGTATTTTTGAAACGAGAAAGACCAAATACAAAAAAGGAAGCATTGACTGAAATGGCAATATCAAGTTCAAGTTACTGGAACATGTGTTTTTTATTCTGGAATAACTTTCTTCTAAAATTACAGTTCATCTAGCATGAAATCATCTTCACACTGATATTTGAATGCATGTTCATGATCACTTTTTTTCCCCCCAGAAAGGTCACTCATGAATCTTAGACATAAGCTAACAGTTCAGTTTTCCAGGTTTTTATGTTTTAGTAACTATTTCTTCCATATAAAACATGTTAGCCTTGCTGTTACATCAGCGAGCAAGGATGGAGAGATTAGCAAAAGAACTGAAGCTTGAGAAAGAAGAGCTTGAACGTCTGAAAGCTGAAGTCAATGGTATGGAGCATGATCTAATGCAGAGGCGACTTCGAAGAGTTAGCTGTACAACTGCAATTCCAACAGTAAGCAATTTGTTAGTATTTTAATTCAAGATGCAAATTTATTTCTTATGCTTTCATGAACTAGAGTATATTAGGCAAAATATTTTGGGGTTTAAAATCTTCAGTATTTGGGAATGATTTTTCTGTGAGTTCTTTGCTTGTAATAAGCCAGTTATAATTTAAGAAACATAATTTAAGATAAGTGTTCAGCTTTTTTAATGTTCACAACAGAATTTCTGAGACGTGTATGCATTTGCTCTTCTGGGCCACAGAACTGAATTATAGTTACTTTCCTCACAACATATAAAAGTGTACATATGAAAAAAAAGTCTAGTAAAAGAGCCTGAGCCATATAGAGCTTGGGTGTTCATGCAGCAGACATTCACATTTTTTGAAAAAATATTGCATTGTGTCAAGGTAATTTGCTGTGTGAGTAGTTCTGCGTCTCTTAGACGTTCCTCTTTCCTTGTGATATATGTTTAATGTGACAAGTAACTTCTCCATGGCAACATTGGCTCAAAAAGTTGTCATCTCTCTCTTTCCTTTTTTCCCCTGTTACATCTCCCTATCTCTGTAACGTCCCCCTACAAGGGACTCTAGCAAGGGCATCTATATGGCTCTGCAGCGATCCTGAAAAGACAGCTTATTTGACCAAAAACTAACTTCCACTGTGCAGTTTTTAGCCAGATCCATTCAGTCTTGTTCACTGTGTTGACATAAGCAGTGGGGACAGATGTGGGATGGAAAGGATGGTAAGGGTTGTTGGCTGCTTAAGTAGAGTTACTGCTGTATGTCTCACCCATCCCAGGTATTTAGGGCAGCATTTGTCAGGTATGTTCTATGATGTTGGGGTGCATCCTAAGATAGGATGTTAAGAGTTATTTCTCTATCTACGTTAATATTTGCTGCTGCTAGCAATAAGATCATTTTGTATCCCAGTAACCTAGACTTTCTTAATGATAAGTAAATATTTAGACTTACGTAGCTGATCCTTCTTGTAAGCATAATTATTGTCACGCAGCATTAAATGATTTACAGATACTGGGCTAGAAGTTCTGGTATACAGGAGCTCCTTGAAGTGATGGGAAGAAATTGGCTGCTAACTTTATTCAGTTATAATCAAAGGATGCAGTTAATGAGAACTGTAGTTCATTTTTTGTTTCCTGATAATCTTAAAGCAAACTTCTGGAGCAGCAGTCATCAATTCATACAGATTCTTATATTTCTGCACTTTGTCTGTAGTGGTAGTGCTAGGTGTGTAATAAACGTAGACACAACTGTGTCTTTTTACTAATGAATTTTACTATTACCTGATTTGTGCTTTGTTGTTGTTGTTTCCCCCTCACTTTCTCAAATGCCCGTGGAAGATGCTCTTTTTTTTGAAGGGAAGAAATTGGGACAGGGGATATAGCGTAATTGTGGATATTTTATTTGGCAGTTTGGCCTAATAAAGGAATTAACATAGACACAGCATTGCTATATCTGTGTTGCATATGATGCTGACTTTCCTACAATTGCTATTTTGGGTCGTTTCTTCCTAGCCTGAGGAAATGACCAGATTGAGAAGCCTCAACAGACAGCTCCAGATAAATGTTGACTGTACGCTGAAAGAAGTTGACCTCCTTCAATCTAGAGGTATAGACTTCATTGTTTTTGCAAAGCACAGTTTAAACACAGTACATGATTTAAAAAGAATAGTCCAAGAACAGTATCCATATTTAAGCAAAATTGAATTTTATCACTATCAACTTATTACTAAAAGATTTCTTTTTCAGTTACAACCTGATAACCTTGACTTGCTAACATTTTTGTTGGCAAAGTTAAAATATTTGTAAATGGTGGCTTAAAAGTAACTTTGTCAAGACTGTTGAGTCTAAAATACTACTTAGTAAAGATTCTTTTACTAGAGTCTTTAATCTGTCACGGACAAAAGCAACTGACAGAGCAACGCAGCCCAGAGGTATAGGTTGCAACCAAGAAGTTGGCAGATGAAAATCTACTTAAATCCTCTATTCTTGTGACAGAAAATGACACACACAATCAAGATAGAATACAAATGTATAATCCCCCTTTTTTACCAAGAATGTGTCTTACAAAAGGATTTGCATTCTCACATGTTTCTAAAGCAATACAGAGCGTTGAATTATCTTTTGAATTATGCTTCCTTACTTTTCTTCTGTTACTTTTCTGACAGGGAACTTTGACCCAAAAGCTGCATGCAACTTCTACGATAACATAGAGCCTGGTCCTGTTGTGCCACCAAAGCCATGTAAAAAAGGTAGGTCAGCAAACAAGCATCAAGTTGCCAAGTCTGCATTCAGAAAGTTTGTTATAATATGAATAATAAGAATTAAAACTCTGTGGTGACAGGAAACATTTCATTTTGATTATTATATCTGTATATAAATGAAAACAGATAATTTTGATATAACAACAGTAATCCTATCTGCAGCTTATTTTCTGTCAGGATGTTTGAAATGAATTTTCTGATAATATGTTCTTTGAAATAATGTTGTTCATTATTAGAAATAGAGTTGAAAGTATACAAACCTCTTACACTTTATCTTGAGCTTTCTAATTGCATTTTTTTTGTTAAATACTTTGATTAAAAGTTCTACGTTAGGAGTTTTTCAGCTGCCTTCTAATATATTTTGTTGCGATTTTATAATTTAAAATTTGGGATGAATTGGTAACAGAAGCTTTAATTATATCTTAATTTGCCCGGTCATGTTTTAGCTATTTTGTATGCAAAATGTGAATTTCGCAGTACCCCTGAAGTTTTTTAGTGTAGGAAGAACCTCAGACATTTTAGACCTAAGACAGTACATTTCCACACTGACGATGTGGGCCATTCAGAAATAGTGGAAGATGCATCTAAAGTGATATCAGTGTCCCACCTTTACAAGCTTTTTTTTTTTTTTTTTTCTTTTGATTTTCTGTGCTACTTGTAAAGTCTCTAGGATTCATATCCAGCTTAAGACACTTAAGCTATATGTGTGCTCAGGAGCTAAGTACTTTTGTTCAGTGAGCGCTTAGTCAGTACAGCCTACAGTGATTCAATTCACCCTAACGTGGACACCTGGTGGCTGCACAGCTCAATAGCTCTCTGGACTCTGCTACATTTAGGGGTCATTTTGGAGCAGTCCTACTTTTTGTTTCAGGTATTTTGGACCCAGTTCTTTTTTCCTTTTAGTTTCTAAAGTCTGTTGAAAGAATTACTTTCAAATGCTAGTAAATATTTTTAAATAGTTTATATCTTTTTACTGAAATAGCCACTGTTGGATCCTGTGCTTCTAATGCAGAGAAGACAGTGGTCTCTTCTTTGTAAAATTTTGTGTGATAAGATTTATAGTATAGTGTCTTCTCTTACTGTAACTATCTAGTACTAAAGTTGTTAGTGGAAAAACTGCTCTGATAACAGTAGTCATGTACTCTGTTCGAAAAATCCAAATATTGTAAATAAATTCTAGTAAGTACTTCTCAAAGGTTTTGGAAACTGAATTTTGATTACATTTAAATAAATATTTTTCCCCTCTCATCTGAAGCCAGTGTTTCTCTGTTTGATTTTTCTGAAATAATATATGGAAATTGATAAGAAAAAAGAAGGCCCAGAACTGCTGTTCTTTCTACTTAGTATTAAAAAAAAAAAATTAGATGCGTTTCCTGCACAAGTGATAGTGTCCAGGAAAGGCAGTAGCATCAGGTGAGCAGGAGCAGTGGCATGAAGGCAGATGCATCCTGGATTCATGTTAAATTGCAGTGGTCATGTGGTAGGTTTAAGGCACTGCTACTTAATGATGTTTGAAGAGATTCTCCTAGTTACATTAGTCTATTAAATTTATTATTTCAGAGCAAGAAATAGTTGCAAGACTTACACGAAACAAGTGGGTTTATTGTCAATTAGAAAGACAGTGCCTTGTGAGCTTTTAAGAGTAGCTTCCAGGTTTTGTCTGTCAGCTTACTAGCGGTCAGTTTTAGGGCTGGTAGTATACTGTATCTTGTTTTGGTCTTTTAACAGGGAATCTTCAAATTCATTTTTTCTTAGAAAATTCAATTTCCTTAATATTCAACTATTGAAAGCAGGTGTGGGCAAACAAAGGTTTGTTCTGTGCTGCACGGTGGGGTAGTCAAGGTGAATGCAAACCTGTGCCTCCACTTTTTGCTCACTTAGGAATCTGTTTAGTCTAGGTCAAGAGCTACGCTAATGTGACTGCACAGCTTCTAGACTACAGGTGGCTTACATCTAAGCAAGGAGGTTCCATTTTTGTTGTGTATGTCTGTGAAGACAAACCTCACTGTTATTTGTGCTAACTTTGTCATCAGCCATCTGTTAGATGTCCGAGGAGATGATACTTAATAAAATAATGTGTGCACTTTGAATTACAAATTGCAATCCTTTTTTACAATGCAAATTCTCTTTAAGTAAGCTATATTTTACAGATGTTTGTTTAGCAGATGCGTATCTTTACCTTACCTTCTAGGTATGTGTTCTAATATTGTTTGGAATCTTAAAGTTTTTTAAAATGTCATAACTACTTTCACATCTTAGGAGTATTTCCACTTTTAGTAGACAGACTGAGGTCTGGAAGTGGTGGTAGCAGACATCAAAAAAACAGGTTTTCCCATAGGTTAATACCTAACGTATGATTACACACATACTGATTTTATGAATGAAAACAAGCTTAAGAGTACTGCTCCATCCCTCCTTCCCCCTGCCAAAGCCCCGAGGAAGTAAAAACAATCTTCTTGTTTTGAAACAAGCCTACCATTTTATTTTTATATTGTATTCTCTTCCACCTGGATAAATGCTAGAAAAGGATGTGGAGAACTGTTGTCTGTCAAACTGTTTGAAGGAACTAATTTAGAAAAAGCCTTTCACTTTGGATAGTGTGGAGTTTAAGATTTGATAAGAGAAACTGCTGTACTTAAACCTATGAACAGTCATCCCTTACCAGGGTGGTGCTGGAGTGCTAGTGACAAACTTTTCATTATATTTTAAACTTATTAAACCTTTAGCAGTATTAGTGACCTTGTAGTAATGACTGCTCTTAATTTCTGTTTTTAATCTAGCGTGATTATGTGACTTCTGTAGAAGTGAAATACTTCAAAGTTTTCTCCTAAAGAATTTCTAATCTAGTTTGTAAAATCTGAATATTTCGTTACCTACATAGAAAGGTTTCCAGATTCATTTTATCACTGAATGTTTAATGAGGCTGACAGTCCAGTCATACCTTACATATGATCCTTCTCTGTAAAATAAGAACAAGTATTTTTCTTTTTCTTTTTTTTTTTTTTCCTTTAGAGCATCAGAACAGCTCCAAACAGACTCCACGGACTCAGCCAAGAGATGAAGACTTTGAAGGGGCTCCATGGAATTGTGATAGTTGCACCTTTCTAAATCATCCAGCACTAAATCGCTGTGAGCAGTGTGAAATGCCACGGTACACCTGAAAACGAATAAGGGGATGCATTGGGTTTAAAATAGGCTTTCAAGCCAACAGGTGTGAGAGAAGGAAATATGGGGAACCTTTCAGTCCATCTGCCCAGCCCTTGCCAGTCAACAATCTTCATATTGCAAGGGATGGGGGAAATGTGTTAAGATGTTTCTGCTTGTGCCACACTAAAAACAAATAAATTAAGGATGAAATATTTTCTTATCCCATTGCAGTGAGCAAAGCAGAAAAGGATACCTGAAAATGTAAAAGGATTAATTTCTGGAAGAATGTATACAGGAAGGCAGATAAGTACTGGTATCTAGTCCTGTGGTTATAGATACTGCTTAGTGGCTCTAAAAAAAAATTTTTTTTTTGAATTATAGAACTCCTAGTAATGGTGTGAAATATTACAATTATCCAGAAAAAAACTGAAGAGCCAGAGTTGACTTACCTGGCCACAGCTAGCTGGAAAACAAAGGCTCCCTGTGCTTCTAGATTGTAAGCTACTGAAAAAGAAGACAGGTAAATGCAACCATAAATTTTGTAACGTATAGAAAACAGGAGAAGGGTATTTGTAATTGCTGCTTTTTTTCAGGGTAAATTATGTCTACAAAAAAGTTGCTGTTTGAAATAGTGACCTAAGGTGACTAAATGAGATACTGTATGAGTGTCAGAGAGTATAACCAGAGGCGATTTTTACAATCCCTTTTGCTTGTACAGTGCTCACCTGACTGTATCAACACTGGTAATAAACTAAGAATGAATTCTACCATATTGTGGATGAAAATGCTGCTGCATGCTTTCATTAGGCCATTGTGTTTTAAAGCTAAAAGTATACAGCTTTTATATACAACAATCTTCTAAGACTGTGCTCTGTAGCAGTACAGTGAACATATGCCAAACGCAGACTACTCCAAATTCAGTTTGAAAGACTTGAACTCAGCCATGGTTATGTATGAGAAGTGTTTGAACTCTGTTCCTTAGGCCTTTTCAGCTTCCAATTTGTGAAGAATTCATGATGTTTACAGCACAGAAGGTACTTTGTGCCCCAGTCCCAAGTTAGCTGAAAAATAATTAATCAATTAGCTCTTCAGTAAAGATTTATTTGCACACTGTTAAAAAATGAGCCTGTATAAAAGAGCAGAGGGCAGATCTTGAAAAATTACACACTGCATTCTTTTTATTTTGGTCAGGAAATATTTGCTGTAGATTGAAGAACACAAAAGACTTGTGTCAACTGAAAATCATACTGGTACTTTTACGTCTATGATATACTGTATTATAAAGGTGATATTCAGTTTGTTTGAATGCTTCAGGTTGCTGTAATAAAGCACTCATTATTTGTGAAATCAAATTTGGGTTTGGGCAGCTGAATGATTATGTTATAAAACTGTGTGACTGAGTAGGATGTTCTTGCGTACTAGTCTGCAGTACAGTGCATTTGAATTTTTATGCTATGACTTTGTCCAGGTCCAGAGACACAACCAAGCCGATCCACTGAGTTATGGTAATTGACTTTGCAATTGTGAGGCAAAACGTGCTAGCTAAACCTCACCAGACAAGATTTAAACGTTGTAAATTGCTCTCAGCTCATGGCAGCCGCATCCATATGGTCAATTACCACAATTCACTTGATGTGTGATGACATATGAAGCTGTGGTAGGACAATCATGTTTCTAAATCCTTATTTAAAATCAAGCAGCGTTTGTAAGGGGTGGGTGGAGGAAAACTTATCTTGACTGTATTGCCAGTCTGGTGTCTTCTGTTCCTGCAGTTTATAAAGGTAGAAGTTTAGAGGAGAGAGAGGAGAGGGGGGGGAGGAAAAAAAAAAAAGAAGTGATCTGAGATGAGGAACTGATATTGTATCTGGCATTTTTTTCAATATGTTCTTGCACTAAGTGAAATTTCACCATAATTTGAAATAACCTAATTGATCTCCAGGAGTCAGTGAGCATCACTGATGAGCAAAACAAAGTCAAAGGCATCAGAGCCAATTTTCCTTGCTTCCTAATGATTTATGGTATTATAAAAGGAGCTCATCGTATGTGCAAGGGGGAAAAAAAACACCGTCCAAGTGAAGTTAGAAGACAAAAATTAATTTTGCTCGTGTAAGTGGACAATCTAACAAATCTGCACCAACTAGAAAACAGATGAGCAGAAACGCTGTATTTAGGATGAGCAGTACCGTTGCTGTTATCACCTGTATCATGAATACTTGATGCAATACCAGTAACTTCATGTCTTTTCTGTGGTGATGCCTTTGCCTTTGTATTATTTCAGTTTTCTATTCATTTGTACTTCTGTTGAATTTTTAGCAGCTTTAATTTTTGCTGGAATTACAAAAAAATAGCAAGTAAAATGACAGTCAGCAAATGGGAGTAGGTGATTCCTGTCAATAGAGTTGTCATATTCAGACAGGATAGATGCTGCTTTGGAAAACAAATTCATGCAGTCCAACAATTCTGTGAACTGTAATAATCATAAATGCATGGTTTCAGGTTTTATGGAGACCTATTAGTCTTAGTCATAGCTTTCACCAGTCAGAGGAAGACCAAAATGGCTGCCTGAGAGCAAGATACTTTTGGAAGACTAAGTGAGTGCCATTAGATTGCAGATGGTTTCCATCGTACCAATAATTTTAATTAAGCTTTTTGATTACTCTCATTTGTTGCTTGTATAAAAAAAAAAACCCTTCTGTTGTATTCCTTTACTTGTAAATGCCCATATTCAGACATTAATAGTAAAAACTTTACATGGTGCTTGAATATGTTTGTTTGTTAGAATGTAAATTGTATTTTGAATATTGGATGATCCATTTCCTTTTGAAAGCAAGTGATGCCTTTCACACCCCAACTGAATTTTAGGTTATGCCAAAAAGGTTGGTTTGTGTAATGTTTATTGAACGCATATAAAACCCTAATGCCAACTGGCCTTTAAAATGCACTGTATTGTATAAAACGTGTGTGTGTGTGTGATCGTTGGGATGCTGATGCCATTGTGTTGAGTTAATGCACTACTTGTGTTTTCTTTTTCTCCCTAATGACTGAGCTTTCCCTCAACCATGCTACTAGGTTGGTAGAGTTCACAATTGACTTGGACATTCAGATATTCAAAATGATTTCACTGTTAACTGAAATTAATTTTATAAAGCTTATTTTATATTTACTGTGCTATTAAGATGAATTCCCTTTAATTATAGATTACTACTGTAGTTCTTTAAAAGTTTAGAGTGGGGCTTGTGGAAAATGATTCAGAGTATAGTAAACCAAAACAAATCTTGAACTTTGGATCTACTTTTAATTTGATGTAACTATTAGTCTTGTCTGGGTGAGGAGGAAAGGGGTGGGAAGTCAAGCAAAAGGAAATACTTTGTAAAATGTAGTCTTAGATCAGATTGAATTGTGTATCTGTGCGTCTGTGGTATGTGTGTGTTTTCCCTTGAAAAATGGGAGGTGTGGTGAAAAGGTGTAATAATTCTTAAAAGAGCTGGTCTCGGTAGTTTCTGATTATGATATGCTACTAAGTCACATTTTTTTTTTTTTTTTTAAAAAAACTTTCAGTTATTTATCTGTCCCGGTGATACATCTCTCATTTAAATTTCTACAACATTTTTAATATTGATTGTAACCCTCCCCCGCCTTGAAACTGAAATAAAAATACTTTGAGTTAAAATGGGGACAAACCAAAATGAAAACAATAAAGAATGTTTTTTAAAAGAATGTGAGAATATTAAGTATGTTAAAAACAAGCTTGTCATCAGGGTGATATTTTATATTTTAAAATTCAGTGGTATACCCTAGAATGTGAAAATGACTTTCCTGACAAAAAGTGGACAGTTGGACATAGACAATTCATCAGCTCCTTTGGTACCACAACTTATGTGCTCTATGCTGCAGTGACTCTCCATCCCAGCAAGAAAGAAGACATGCACAAATAACACATCTCATAGTCAGTACTTTCTCTATGTGCTGCTGCATCTGTTTTGTTACAAAATGTCAACATTATTTGAAGTTGACCATGACCGAATTTTGCCATATTTCTTCAGTTGGGGCTTTTTGTTGCTGTTTATGTCCATAAATATTAATGCCAATATTTTTCTTGTTTCTGAATAATCAGAAGTCAATGGAGTTAATGCAATATTATAATCTTGGATTTTCAGTACTTTTGAAACAGATTTTTTAAAAAACTGTGTTCTTGAGATTTATTTATTTATGGTGGCACCAGTGTATCTAATCCATATTTCCTGCTGTGTGAAACCCTGTTAATTTTTTTCATTAAAACAACAAGACACAATCTTGTTTAATCCTGTATATATGGTGTCTACATTCTAGATTTGTGTATGCTGTGAATGAACTTATCACTAAAAATGAAATTGTACAAAGGCATTCAGAGGCTGTGCATGCATGGTACCTCCAGAAAGTGCATACTCCGAGTTGCAGATTCCTGCAAAAATAAATTAATAAACTAAGCAAACATCACATCCTGCATTTGTTCTTGTATGTAGTAGGAGACCTTTTTTTAAAATAGTAGCCTTTTTTCTTTGATAATCAGATTGTTTCTAGTCTTTCACTTGGATCTGTAACTATAGCAAACATGTGTCAGGCTTTTTGGGAGTTTTCTTTATGCTAGTCAATACAATTGTCATTAGCCAATCAATGAATATTGAACTGGGGTCCAAATCCTGTTTTTGTCAATGTGAACTGCTTGGAGGAGCAGGAGTCCTATTTAGATCGTGGATATTCTGTGTAGCATCTGGTGTAGAAACAGGACATAGGATGTCTATTGTGTGAAGCAGAGTTCATCACTTTTTCCCCCTATTTTTGAATGGAAAGCTCTTATTAAATGAATGTCTTTATACCTTAGAGCAGATGATCACCTTTTTGTTCTCACTTGCAAGCCTGCAGGCTTTCCTGCTTATCCTAGATAGTACTGAGCATCTGGATTTTGAAAGTAACATCCTATGCTATTACTCCTAACAAAAAGGCACTGCTTTGGGAAAGGATGGAGAATTTGAAATGCATAAATCAGTATGCAGACTGTATTCCATTATCCCATTTGTATCAGTTTACCGTACAGCTACAGAGGTTTCAAGTTTGTAGCTTATAACAGCTGTATTTTGTTCACATGCTATTTCAGTCACTAAACAGATTCTGCTCTAACAAACCAATGCAATTTTGTTTTCAAACTTTTTGTCAGCAAGCATATAGGATTTAATTTTGCATGCCTTTTGCTAAATTGAATCAATTTCTATAAAAATTTCAGGGTATGTTTGCATTCTAATCAAACTTTTTTTTTTTTTTACTTTGGAAAATACTGCAATTCAAAGATTTAAAATTGTTCTGTTTAAACATTTTTAAATATTTCAAAATGTTAAGCATCTTTGAATATACTAATGGAGAACATGCAATGCCAAAAGATACTAAATACAACATCTGACAGTAGCCACTGCTTTCCCCCTCTCCCCTCTCCTTTTTTTTCCCCTCTCTGAAGCTCTGAGGAAGTCTTTTCATAAGAGTTGCTTGGTTTTGATAGGACTGTGCCATGTCTCAAAGCTGAGAAGTTTGGAGAGGTGATTTGTCTTGATCTGGTAAGTATCCTAGAAATTAAGTTTCTGTTCTTCTAGTTTTTCCAGATGATGTACAGGGTTAGGTAAGTATTGCATTTTCTTTAATTGCACTCTCTCTGAGTATAAATACACATTTAGGAAGGAGTTGATTTGGATAATTAATTTCATCTAATAGTTGAAAATCATTGCATGTTAAATAAGTTAGCTAAACTTCTGTAGAGACTATGCAAAGTTGTTGGAGAAGGGGCAATGTTAATTTTTAGATTGCAGGCTTATGATTGTGCCATGTTCTAGTTTTGACAGCAAAAATTGGGTCAGACCAGCCAAAGCCTCCCATAGGAGTGACAGTGCTTTATTTTACCAAATATTCCATCTTTCAAGAAAGCAGTAGTCTTTTATTAAAATTACCTGCAGAGTGGAATTCTGAGGATGTATTTCCTCTCATTTTCTTTCCAGTTAGTCAAGGCCTTACAACATTCTAGGTATTTGCTGATTTCACAAATTTGGTTCTGCAGATTTTGATAGGTTAATTTTTTCTTCTTTATTCCCATGCCGTTAAGACCTTTTTGAAGTTGAGCCAAACCTAACAAGGGAGTATTTAAAAACAAAAACAAATTACTACTTTAAAAACAATCCCCCCATGAATGAAACACATGCAACGCAGGTACTATCTGACTGATGGGAAGCTTCATTATTTTGGAAATGTTTTAGGAAAAAAGTTCTTCTGGAAGAGATGCAGTAGTCTAGAAAAAAAGATTTTGCTAGCTAAGCGAGGTTATCGTAAGTCTAAAAGGCATATTCTGTTTCCAAACTTAAATTGCTTATCAATATTTTGCATAACAATTGGTACCAAGTTCTGGCATTAGTTACCAGAAGACCGGAAGTAGCACTGTGCCTGAAACTGCTAGTGGCTGACTTCTCAGCTGAAACGAGGTGCGTGGCATCTTTGGAAATATATGTGTATGAGTGCCAAACAGCTATATGCTGTTGGCATATATATGATGCCAACATATATATGATATGTTGACAGCTATATGATAGGATCTATCCTGAAAAATAATCCTCATTGCTGAAATGTTATTTTGAGAAGTTATTCCCTCAGGAATAACGGCTGATGGAATTTCTATCCCAGTGCAACAGCAGCTTTTCACATAAATCTGTGGTGCGGTGTTGCATCTCCTGTCCCCTCTGCTCCTCCCCACCTCCTGCCTCCTAAAGCCTTTCGGAAAGGGGAGAATGGGTTAGCTGTACCAATGGGGGGTTTTTTTGTTTGTTTTTTGCTAGTTAATTCCCAGGTTTGGAACAAAAAAATTTCTTTTACTTTCTTTATTTTTTTCTTCTTTCTCTAGTGGGACTGAGGTATAAAACCCTATCACTTGAGGTTCTTTACAGTGAGTTTTGGGTTTGTTTGTTTGTTTTTTTTTTTTCTTTGGTGGTTCTTTTTTAAAATCGTAGTAAGGAATACTCCTATTCTAGTTAGAGGTTCATTGACCATTCAAATCTGAACTAAGTATTTTCAATATTTAGAATGGTGAAGCAATAGTTACTTTTCCTTCTCTTTCTTTTTGATCCACCTGGAGTAGTAACAATGCTGAGGATTCCTGTGGTACTGCAGATCACCACCCTCAGCAGACTTTGTGTCCTGGTGTGTTCTTGAAATACACCCTCCCCTCCTAGGAATCCTATGGAATTGACCTACTATATTGGTACTGTCTCCACCATTACATGGGATGTGATCCAGCTGGGATGAGGGATAGAAAAAAAGAGAAAGCTATCTTTCAAGGGTTGTTTTCCTGTAGTGTTTTGTTTTTTGTTTTGTTTTGTTTTTCTGATGCAATTTCCCAGTAACAGAATCATTCCCATCACAAACTAATAACTATGCCTTGTCCATTGGCAGCAGAGACTTTGCAAGATGCTGTATGCAAGAGGGTTGAAGCTAAGCACATCTTGATGGATGTGCTAGAGTACACGTGTATTTTGTTCCTCACTTCAGCATAACTCTCTTAAATCTGAGCCCAGTGCCTCAGCTCTCTCTTTAAAAACCTGCTACCATAGGATTTTTCTTACATGCTTAGCAGAAACCCTTGGGTGTTGTATGTTATAACTGGCTTTACAGGGAAACTACAGCAAAAGAGATGTGGGTCAAAGAAAAGGGTTGAGAGATTCCTTCATCCTTTGACAAGACTTAATTGTCAGAGAGGCTAGGTCTCACTATTGGGTTATGGAAAATTAGTTTATATTAGGACCAAAACCTTATATCTTCAATACTTGTAGAAGATTAGTGTGGAAGGAATACCATGTCTCCAGCAAGGAGACTAAGAAGTCTCTGCATGAAGCTGTAAAATGTAAGTGTATAAAAGTTCTTCAGCCTTGAGAAAATAAGGAGTTTTGTCCTGTGTATTTAAAGTATGAATTTCATTGGCTATGTTGATTTCTGCCGTTCATGGAAAGCACTTGTTTAGCCAGGAGCAAAAAAATGAGTCTGAATAAAGCTGCATCTACAAAATCTTAAATAAATTGTTCTTGCTTCATATTTGTAAATGTGCTTAGAGCTCAGAGCAAGCTCCTAGCCAATAAGGTCATTTATACTGTTACTGAAACCTTGCAACTGATCCCACAGTAATGTGAAAAGTACTTAACTAGAAGCTTAGAGAAACGGGGAAGGAAAGCCACCAAATCAGATAAGTGGAACTTTATTTATTAAAGTCTAAGCTTAGAAAACCCTTTAGTTTACAAAAATAGATGAATTCCAAGGACTTTTTTTTTTTTTTTTTGAACCAGGTTAGGGCTGGATATTTCCAGGAAATTCAACTGTCTCCTTTATCACGTATGATTTTTTCAGGGAAAAGTTGGGCTTTTTGGGCTGGTTTAAGAACATATTGCCGTCTCTTTTACCCCAGGATAGATATAGGTAGTGTTATCTGGTAGACTAAACAGGGACTTGAGCATGTAAATCAATTTTTTTTTTTTTCTTTCTTTCAAATTCTCTACTTTTCCAGTGTTTTGAGAACTCATGATTTGAATATTGTGTCACTGAAGCTGATGGAAACCACTATCCACCATGGCGGCAAGATCAAACCTGTGATGAATGTCTCTAAAGCTTGTGGAGAGATACAGCAAGTTACTCTGATAAGTTGCTCTCAAGGATGTGACAAGAGAAAAAAAGGAAAGAGCAGGGAAAACCAATGCCTCTTTCACCTTGCTAACTAGTCAGACTGCATTCCTCAATAGTAGTAAGGGCTACCAATAAATCTGATTTTTCTACCCAGTGGAGGTACTCTACCAGCCGTCCAAGTTGGACCAACCTAAAATTACCTGCCTAGAGATAAACAGGATAAATAGTTGTGTTCACAATTTCTCAATGATTTTGTAGCGCCTATGGCATACCCTTGACACTGTAATCTTCCTTCCTAGCCTCAGGACCATCTTAAGTGGAAAATGGAAAGGAAAATGGCCCGTTTGAGCCTTTCCTTGTTGTAGGCCTGGCTGGGCTTGTTTTCTTTGCAAGAGGCAATGCATTTAGAGCATGAATGAATCCTGCTTTTGTCATTATCAGTTATTTGGGATAGTTGGTATTCAGCACAAAATACCCTAGAGAGGATCTGTTTGGGTTGGAGGCAAAATCAAACAGACCTTGCAGGGGGCACCTAAGGAAGGCAGGAAGTGGAAGGGCCAACATTTGACTGCTGTAGAAGGCCAATTTTAAACTGTACAAAGGTTTGTTACGAGGCTATATTTTTCCCTCGTGTAAGTGCTAAAGGAGCATTTTTTATAAAGCTTTGATGGTGGTGCCTGATTGGAAATTTGTCATATATATTTAGTAAATCTATAAAGTTGAAAGAAAATTGGGGGGGGGGGGGGGATGCCAAGGGTATTAAGTAGAAGGATCAATTCTGGAGAAAGTTACTCATG